ATGTTTCAATTTAAATACACTGACTTGCAACCGATTCTCCAGCAGTTAATTCTTTATTTGAATAATTTTTTGCTGCAGTTTTCTAATTTGTTAGTTGTAATATGATAAAATAGTAAATGTACATTACCGAATGGCAACCTGCTCTCAATTTGCTTTGATGAAATATAAGGAAAGCGAACAATAATCATGATCAAAAGTCCAAATAATCAAAACAAATTGAGAGCAGGGCTATTGCAGACCCCTGAAAACTTCAGAGGTGGAATCAGGTGCCATATAGGAGTAAGCAATTCCTATCGACCGTTCACACCCGTCGTGAGCCCTTTATCTTGATTTGGTAAATGGATAAACCCTTACTCAGTTCAGTATGGAAATAATGGCTTAACATTTGTAGTCAACATTCGACCTAACGACAGATTGTATTTGCAACGATGATCATTGTATCGACTATAAAATATGCGGAATGTTGACTTTAAACGATTAAATTATTTATCAGTAGCCTGTATGGGTTTAAAAATTGATCGGAACGTGTTCTTGATCGAATCAACGGGAGACATTAAAATTGTATGCAGGTGACAATGGTATAACTTTTAGATAAAGAAGGAAATTGACTATAGAAAAATTGAATCCGTCATCTTTGTCACAAAGTTTTGCTGTTACTTTGCCCTCAGAATCATTTTCTAGTAAAACATCCAAGTATGAAAAAAATATGTCAGACTATTTGATGTCCTTGATTTCGATTTGTATGGAATATATAGAGGATGTTTAATGTTTGTAGTTGGATATGGAATTAATGCGTGCGAAGCACGGGTGAAAATATAAAAATAATTCTGTTTTGGGAAAAGAAATTCCATATTCAACTACAAAATATTGATTTTTCTGCTTATTCAATTTTCTTTGATCCCCCCTTTGCCTCTCTCTTTACATGTGTTATAGGCTGTGACCTCATAGTTGAGCGGTTGAGATGTCATAGCTTAAGGATTGTGAGATTGAAAACATTGTTAACATGGATTTCTAGAACATATTTGGAGAAACTTTCGAGGTTTATGTCTCTGTCAGGATGGTTAATTTACCCTCTCTATCATAACAAGCCATGGAGTATTTTTACAACAGTCTTCGTGAAGGGAAGGAAAATCTCGAGTTTTGCCTCACTATTGATATTCTTTTACAATATGAAAAAATATCACTTTGCTATTCTTTCATTCTGTGATAAACTATCACTTTTATCAACTGGGTTTTCCGTAGGTTTTTCGGTTATTGAAATGATAAAAATGGCGGGCGGCTTCCAAAAGGGCACACAATTTGCCTTGATAACTCCGCCTACAGTTGTCAAGATGGAATTTTTTTTATTTTGAAGATCAATTGTACATACATCGCATATATATCACACACATGTTGATTTTACTTGGATTTTGATTTTTGGTGATTTATAAGAAAAATACGAGTTGCATGTTGAATTAAGTCATTTCTATGCAAAATATGCTAATAGGGTACATTGATTTTGTTGGGATGTCACCTCCTACATTTATTAAAATAGGAAGTTCTTAAAAATAATCTGAGAAATATCAGTACTATTCACACAAAAGAAAACCCGTTTTGCTGTCATTGACAGCTTTCCCTTTGTTCCATAAAAAATACAGTATTTCACTGCTGAAAATGTTATGAATCAAGTTAATGTATGGAAAAAGCGTTGCCTTGTATGTTGGATTTTGATGTCAAGTATGAATTGCCTACCCACAGATAGTCTCTTAGTGCGTCCTTCCTTATTACATTTTGTGATGGTGTGCATAAACCATTTTACTATTCAGGGATATAAATTTTCATATGTTAGCATACATTTTATTGATATTCGGCAACTATAGAGTAGAATATGTGTCACTTATATTTCTTGTTTTTCTGCATGTGTCGACTATTTATAGCTGTTCTCAGTTGTAAGTAAACATATTGTTTATTTTCCTGAACATAGTATTTTTACTGATCCCACCTCTGGAATTTCCAGGGGTCCGTGCTTCATGCCCTCGTCACAGAATTTTAATTGTTTATAGATCTTTTGATATCATGTCTATTATGTTTCAATAAATTTAATTTGAAAGAAACTAATAGATACCAAGTTTTCTAGGATTTATCTCTTTGAGTCAGAATACAAACTTCTAATGCAAATATTAAATGGAAACAAAAATAGTTATGAATCTTGTATTTTTTCTTTTCAATCAACATGTATATTGTAAGGCATTTTTAAAAATATCGGTTTTAGGTATTTGTGGTGCTACAGTATTATTTTTGATTGATTCTAATCATTTTTGTACTTAAGGCTTTGATTCCGCTAAAAGTAATAGAGTTAAAAAGAAAAGAATAAATAAGCAGATGAATTTTTATTTGCATGATCTCTACAAAATAAAACTGAAGACAAAACTGTCCCTGAAATAATTAGCGAGTATATTAATAAAGAATACAGAAGTGATAGTGTCAATGTAACAGTTTAAATGTAAATGGATCGAATCTAAATTACAAATTAAATTTGAATTAGAATTTTCTTCATTATGGACTAGTACTTAGAATACCAAATAATGGGAAGGCGATCGGGATGGGATGGGGGAAAGAGGGGGTTCCCTGAGAAATATTTAATGTTCTAAAAAGTATATACGGGATTTATATAAATAGGTTAGATGATTATTTAATGTAAACTTCATATGTTTCTTTTGTTGAACGTAAGAGAATGTAATTTTAGGCAATATCCTATAAAATAGCTTTAATTAAATTTCAAATCTCTACTAGTGTGTAAGATATAATTATTTAGATGTCATTCAACATGGCAATCTAACTATAGTATGAAGTGTCTCATGCTTAAATGTATAATTTTAGTCACATTATTATTGAAAATATATTTAATTACAGCAGGAAATAAATTTTATATATCGGCAAAGGTCAAAAATGGAGATCTGGTGCTGACTCATACCGGTTCCTCAAAGCTTCCAATTTTTGTGACAACACCTTTACAAAATAAATGGGTGATATTTACTGGAAAACAATTCATTATAGAGGACATTCTACAGTATAAATCTTCTACCATCCGTGTCGTGGAGTACAAAGAAAATCATAAACGAGTCTATTACAATATCCAAGGTACGCTCTAGATGCTATTGCTACAGTTATAAATTGTCTGTTTTTGATTGTTTTCTTCTTTTTTGAGCATTCATATGATAAGACCAGACAAGGTTTGCATCATTATGTATAAATGTCATAATCATAAGACCGCGGAACATTAACTGGCAAAATTGGAAATATGCAGCTTACGTCATTTCCATATGTCGCAGTCAAACACTTGATGATATACAATGAAATGGGCGGGTACAATTTGACACGGACGTCTGCGAAAACATTGGATTGAAATTGCAATTCGAAATTCATTTTCAATCCACCTGAGCTATTTTTCGCAAAGTTATAATGTATGATCGAAACGACAAATAATTTCAGTTCCCAAATACGTATAGTTTGAAATTAATGTATAACAATTTTCTATTTTGAGGACAAACAAAAGTTATAGAAGATATAGCTACATGTATATTCTTTTAGGGGAAGACCATTTGATTCTGGAAGTTGGGGGGGGGGGGGGCTGGCAAATTTTGCCGAATCAGATTATTTATGGTTATGTCTCACATGAAAGAATATATTAAATATTTGTAGGATGACAAAAGACATTATTTATTTTCTTCTTCACTGAAAGAAATTTGAAATTCAATTTCAATCCATCTGAGCTGTTTTCAAACCTCAAGTGTGAATGTATGATTCAAAAGACAAATAAATTCAATTCCCAAATACATATTGTTTGAAATTCATATTTATATGAGTTTTTTAGCCTATAATTTTAAGGACACGTCAAAGTCCTAGAATACAGAGATTATTTTTTCAGGGGACGGCCATTTGATTCTAGAAGGGGGGGGGGGGACTGTCAAAAATTGTCGAGTCAGATCGTGCCTTCACATGAATAATATATTAATTTCTAGGATGACAAGAGCTTTTAGTTTTTTCTTCTCTGAAAAATGTTTGACAAACACAAATAGGGAGGGGTTGTCCAAACTAAAATAAAACGTTCTTATTCATTTCCAAGATCGTTCACCCCCCCCCCCCCTTCCAACCACCCAACACACACACACACACACCAAACAGAAATCAAATATTTCTTTAAAAACATGGGATAGGAAATTCTGATTCATATATATTTCAAATTATTTGTCTTTTGTGTCAATCATTAACACCGTGCGTTCTAGCGTAGCTGAGGTGGATTGAAAATGAATTTCGAATTGCAATTTCAATCCAATGTTTTCGCAGACGTCCGCGTGTCGAATTGTACCCGCCCATTTCACTGTCTCTCATTAAATGTTTTGACTGTAACGATGAAAATGACGTAAGCTGTATATTTCCAATTTTGCCAGTTAATGTTCCGCGGTCTTATACATGTACCTGTGAATAATCATTAAGAACAGCAGAGGTTTTCCGAAAGAAAATAGTATGGAAAATGTGTAAAAATACGAGTGTCAACAAGTTGTTCGATAATGAAAAAAAAAAACCCTATTAATATTGATATGTATTGGACATCAGCTGACGTTTTTGTATTGATTATTCGGTTATATATTAGGATTTTTAAAGAAAAAACATTGTTACACAGAAATAAATGAATATTTTGAAATATCTGAGAGTAAAGGAATATCCTAAAACTTGTTAGATAATTTGTTTACATACTGTGCAAAAAAATATTTCTTTTGGGCACTTTTTGTACATAAGATAATAAACTATTCAACTAAACGCAAGATATATAGACGATGAAAAATCTTTTTATATTTGAAAATCAGGTGAAGCTTTTTATATTGTAAAGGACATCCATTTTCTCATATATAAGAAGAATGTAATTTATATACGAAGAGAGATATGATTCATAATAAAGTGAACAATTGACGGTCTATATTTTTTAAATTATTTGATTTCTTGCTTACACAGTAGATATAATGGAGTCAAATGAAGGTGACACAATGAATATATCTTGGACTAATAATGTGTTTCCTCTGAGTGAAATGTATGAAATAATCCACACATACGACGGTTTACAAAGGCCAATCCTTCGTGCAAATGAGGATAATATATCAATATATGATCCTTCGAAATACGCCTACCCCAGTTCAACATTTCATTTTGGAAACATAAGTCTTAAGATAAGGAACATAAGGAGAAGAGATGCTGGATACTATTCCGTATGTACCGGATGTACTGTGAAAAATAAATGCTGGTGTGGAGGAGGCGTTGTACTTGTGGTAAAAGGTTGTCAGTTACACCCTGAAATAATGTTTGTTTGCCCTCTCCCAACTCAAGGTAAACAAATTTGGGTCGGTAGGTACATGTATGTGGGAAATTTTCCCCCCGAGACAATTTCAATATCAATGCTGAATTTTCAAAATATTAAAATAAAATTAAAATATGTGTTCACGGGATGAGAAAATTCCGGATCGAGAAGAAAAAAAACTGTCGTTTCCTGGAGGTGAAAAAGTTTTTAAGCCGGGCCATATTTGGCCAATCGGTCGGGAGAGGGCAAACAGACATTTTTTAAAGATGGTCTTAGTTATCATAGGTGAAATTTAAGATTCAATTATACTAAAACTGTACGTTTGCATTTTTTTTTTTAGTTTTGTTTCAAGTATTTTAGCAGCAGAATAAAAGTAAAATTGACACATTAGTGAAAACAAAAATAGTTATAATAAAAGAAAAAGTATCACCATAAGCCAAATCAAAATTGTATTCTCCATTGGGGCTACATGTATTTTAGTAGATTCTTTACATTTAAAACTTTGTTTTTGTTTCCAGACTTTTTTTAGCTCACCTGAGCCGAAGGTTCAAGTGAGCTTTTCTGATCACATTTTATCTGTAGTCCGTCCGTCTGTCTGTCTGTCCGTCTGTCCATCTGTCCGTCTGTAAACTTTTCACATTTTCGACTTCTTCTCCAGAACCACTGGGCCAATTTCAACCAAACTTGCCACAAAGTATCCTTGGGTAAGGGGGATTCAAGTTTGTTCAAATGAAGGACCACGCCTTCTTCCAAGGGGAGATAATTATGAATTGTGAAAAATTAATGGCATCATTAAAAAATCTTCTTCTCAAGAACCACTGTGCTTGAAAATATGAAACTTATGTGGAAGCATCCTCAGGTAGTGTAGATTCAAATTTGTTCAAATCATGACCCCTGGAGGTCTGGTGGGGCCACAATGGGCGATCAAAGTTTTACATAGGAATATATAGGAAAAATCTTTAAAAATCTTCTTCTCAGGAACAGCAAAGCCATGATTGGTCATATTTACATGGTAGCATCCTCAGGTAGTGTAAATTCAAATTTGTTCAAATCATGACCCCCGGGGGTCGGGTGGGGCCACAATGGGCGATCAAAGTTTTACATAGGAATATATAGGAAAAATCTTTAAAAATCTTCTTCTCAAGAACAGCAAAGCCATGATTGGTCATATTTACATGGAAGCATCCTCAGGTAATGTAGATTCAAGTTTGTTCAAATCATGACCCCCGGGGATCGGGTGGGGCCACAATGGGCGATCAAAGTTTTACATAGGAATACGTAGTAAAATCTTTAAAAAAAAACTATTTCTTAAGAACAGCAAAGCCATGATTAGTCATATTTATATGGAAGTATTCTTAGATAGTGTAGATTCAAGTTTGTTCAAACATGACCCCTAGGGGTTGGGTGGGGCCACAATGGGTGATCAAGTTTTACATAGCTGCAATAATGTAGCCCTCTCCCTTTTTTTTTTTTTTTTTTTTTTTTTTTTTGGGAGAGGGCTACAACTCCTAAGGATCTCCGTAATGGTGCAAGTGCGGGAGTGATTCACTCCCGCACGAATTTCGGCTTAAATTATCAGTAAATGGCTATTTAATTGACATTTCTTACCTGAACTCCAAAAATGTAGTTATGCAAAACATAAATCAATCCAAACATACACAGAACAATCCATATATCGGTTATTTTTCGTGTATGTCAACATCACAACTTGAATTTATCCGCCATGTTTACTGACCTTGATCGATTTTATTTTGGGACAGCCAATGAGACTAGGGATCTCTAGGGAGCGGATCTCTGTATGAATTACCTTATTTTAGGCATAAATATCGCTGTTTACGAAAAAATGTCACATGGAATAGTTTTAATTATAAATATTTAATGATGCCATACAGCATAATCATTTAGTAACCCCGAAAATCTACTTTACAAAGTAATTTATAATTTTCAAGCGCAAGTCTCAGTGCATCACGCGAGAACTGTCATGGCTTCTGATGAGAGCGACTGGTAAACAAGCAGATTTATTTTATCTGGTTTTCGCGTTTAACGGGCTATGTTGTTGACAGTGTATAAAAATTTCGCCTTTTTAGAAGTAAGTTGAATGTAAAAACAATTTATTTTGCCTGCAGTCGCCCGTATTTAAAAAATATATTTGCACCATTACAGAGATGCTGTGGAATTGTAGCCCTCTCCAGAAAAAATCAGATAAAAAAAAATCGGAGAGGGCTACATTATTGCAGCTAAGTTTTACATAGTAATACATTGGAAAAATCTTTAAAAAATCTTCTACTCAAGAACCAAAGCCATGATTGGTCATATTTAAATGGAAGCATCCTCAGGTAATGTAGATTCAAATTTGTTCAAAACATACCCCCCCCCCCCCGAACCACTTTTATATTTAAACTTTTCGACCTTTCAAGACTGAACTGATTGCTTTTTCCTAGCCATAGTGCTCAGGTGAGCGATGAGGCCCCTGGGCCTCTTGCTTAAAAAAACTTTGTTTTATTTTAACGGAAGAAATAATTATATCATCCGAGTACCAAAATATTACCATAAACAAAATGAAAGTTATATATTGCACTTTATATTGGGCTAAATCAATTTTTTTGGTTTAATATTTCTTTTTTCCACGGAGTTGATTATTGGCTATTAATTCAATGATTATACCTTTTTAAAATATCTGAATTTAAAGATTTATTTCAGAATATAGTGAAAACTTGCTTACAAGTCCATGGTTCACAGAAATGTAGTTTCTTTTAAGGAGATTCTATATAGAAATATAGGAAAGTGTAACTATAGAAAAAGAATCGGAAAAACATATAAGTTCATTATAATCAAGATGTCCATATGTTTAATTAATTACTTTATAAGATAGTTTTACTGAAGATTTTTCGTCTTTCTCACAAATGTAGCTACATCTATTCGAACAATGGGCAAAAATACATTTATTTTTTGGTATTCCTATTTTAATTTCTAAATATCTAGGAAATCCAACTAAACCAGCGATAACAGGAAATCTGACTCTCAAAACAGGAGAAAACGCATCAGTGACCTGCTACAGTAAATCCACTTCAGTTCCATCCTATTATAAAGAGTTCCCTCCATTGTCATACATATGGTACATCAACAACACACTGGTGAAAGAAAGTACGGAAAATATGTACAGATTTACCATAGCGAAGGGCGATAAACACAGCTATATTTCATGTCAAGCAAAGGAAACCCTCATATCTGAGGAAAGTAAACGGCTGCAAATCATCCCGCTCTGTAAGTTTTTTTTTTTTTCAGAAAAAATTACAGTAAGCTGAGTATTTGTAAACCTATGATTCGTACAACAAAAATCTCAAAATTTCCAAAGGTTTTAGATAAATTACATGTACAAGTTTTCATGTCCACTCAATTCAAAATAATCGGCAAATTAGGAAGAAATGTAAACGTTATATTTTAGTCTTTTTTTAATTTTCATAATCAGTGAAGACCATATGACAGTTATGGCTTTTTTTCTGAATTGATGAAACATGAATTTATGAAAGACCAGTTTCTGACTTATATTAAAAAGTTCACTTTACAGTATTTTAACTAATAATATAAGCGATTGTAATGCGACGACATGTACATGTATAACATTCAGATGGTCCAGATCTAGAAGACATGAATATTTCACCATTGATCAGTGACAACATAACGTTACGTGACGGTGACATCTTTGGTCCGTATGTCTGTACAGTGGACTGTAATCCACCATGCAGTATTCAATGGAAATACATGGAACCATCCGGAAAGTTTGTTAATGCCACAACCAAAGGACAAACATCAAAGCTATTACCGGAACAACGAGTGCGCAGAAGCAAACATGAATTGTTCCAGTGTGTTGCACAAGGCTTAGATGCCAAACAGGAAACAATTACAATAAATTTAGACATTCAGTGTACGTGGTTTTTGTGATTTGTTGAATAAGTAGATATCTAATTTCGGTCAATCAGTCTGGTGTGTTGTCTGTCATTGAGATAGCTATTCATATTAGAAACATCATCTGCCATACCAATTCTATTGCACGATTTCAAGAATGTGGATCTTTTCAATATTACTAAAACTTATCACGCATTTGATTAGTTTGAATTTCAAGATATTTATAAAGAAGCTTTTGATAAAATAAGAAAAATTCAGATTACAAATCCAATTCATCAAACCGTTCACGGTAGCTCAGTCGGTAGAGCGCTCGCTTCGTAATAGGGAGGTCGTGAGTTCGAATCTCAGCCGCTACTGACCTAAGTCGATAAAAAATGGGTAGCAACTGTCCCTTAATGCGCTCGGCACTTTCAAGTGAAAGTTGCGGGTCCTTCGGATGAGACCTTAAAAACCGAGGCCCCGTGTCACGGTAGGCGTTGGCATGATAAAGATCCCTCACTGCTCAATGACCCTGAGTGCCGAGTAAAGGTCAAAATTTGAAGCCCTTCACCGGTATATGGTGACGTCTCTATATGAGTGAAAACTTCTCGAATGGGACGTAAAACAACATATAATAAATCAATCAATCAATCCAATTCATCAATTAAAATGTAAAGAATTGAATTTTTTGGCCTTTTTACTGTCTTTTTAAATATCTTTGGAGCAAAATTGGCAAAAGTATCCGTTAATAAATTAAATTTCAATTTGAGAACCATTGGATTAATTTTTTGTATACTTATCCGTTTTGTTTTCTCAGTGTTTTCAGATTTGTCGACACCGAAGGTATTTATAAATGGAATAGCTGCTGCAAATGTGTCAAACATACCGGAAAATAAACCCCTGCAATTGTCATGTCTTGTGAAGGGAAATCCCGTTCCAGCCGTGACCATCAGCAGGGACAGGGCAAACCACGTTCTCGTGAACAGTGTGGGCTACTGGTCAAATTATACATCTATTAAAGAAGCCCAGTGTGCCGATACAGACACCTACAGGTGTGAAGGAACGTCAAAAGAAATGCCAAGCAAATCTACAACATTTACTATCAATATTGTTTGTAAGTATTGTTTTGATACATATAATATTTCAGAGAGAGAGAGAGAGAGAGAGTGAGAGGTATGGATTCATGCATTACTAGTACCTTTATCTTTTCCAGGTAAACCTCGGTTTGACAAACGTTTAGAGTTCAAATCAACATACAAAATAGAACATCTACCTACAGTTATAACTGTGGATGTTCCTGTTATCTCCTATCCTAAACCGATTTCTGTCAAATGGCTCGGGGCGGTTCCTACAGAGGCTTTCTATACCACGATATCTAGAGGAAATGATTTTTTTCATCACTGGATATACAGCACAATCCCTATTTATAATGGCAGCTTTCTTGGAAACTATACTCTCTATGGCGATGACATCGAATTAGCAAGCATTAGGATAATAGGTTTTCGTTTTATTTATTTACTGTATACAGGGTTATTTTCGCCCTTTTACATCAACAAACTGTTTTGTCCCGTTTTAAATTCGCCCATTCACATGTCTGTTTAAGCAATCCTAATGACTTCTTTGAATTCGCCACATCTTAAATTCGCCAATTTGTGACTAAGGTGAAAGAGGCGAAAATAAAACGGAGGCGAAAATTTCCCTGTATACAGTTTTTTAGGTCACCTGAGTCACTCAGGTGACCTATTGCTATCTGTTTTTGTCTGTCGTCGTTCGTCGTCAATCCGTCGTAAACTTTTGAACATTTTTAGCTTCTTCTCTGGAACCACTGAACCAATTTCAACCAATTTTGGCATATAGCATCTATGGGTGAAGGGGAGAAAAATTGTGAAATTCATGGCCCCTGCCCCCCTGTGGCCTGAAGGGTAAGCTAAAACCATCAAAATTAATGCAATCTTTAAAAATCTTCTTCTTTACTCCTGGACATCAAGCAGTCAAACTGTTGGCATGATTGTAATAAGCATTGAGCCCTCTACCAAAATTGTGAAATTCATGGCCCCAGGGTCAGGGGTTCTGGTGCTAGGGCAGGGCTCTAATGATTATATAGTGAAAATGCATTAATTCTTTAAAAATCTTCTCCTCTGCTCCTGGGTATTAAGCCGATGAATTAAGTACATAGTTATGATGAGCAAGAGTGCCTCTTCCAAAATTGTGAATTTCATGGCCCCTGAGTCAGGGGTTCTGGTGTTTGGGCGGGGCTCTAATGAATATATAGTGAAAATGTATTAATTTTTTAAAAATCTCCTCTGCTCCTGGGTATTAAGCCGATGAATTAAGTACATAGTTATGATGAGCAAGAGTGCCTCTTCCAAAATTGTGAATTTCATGGCCCCAGGATCAGGGGTTCTGGTGTTAGGGTGGGGCTCTAATGATTATATAGTGAAAATGCATTAATTCTTTGAAAATCTTCTCCTCTGCTCCTGGGTATTAAGCCGATGAATTAAGTACATAGTTATGATGAGCAAGAGTGTCTCTTCCGAAATTGTGAATTTCATGGCCCCTCTTGGTGAGGGGTTCCATGTGTGTGTGGGGGGGGGGGGGGCTTTTCTATATAGTGAAAATAAATTAATGCTTTGAAAATCTTCTCTGCTCCTGGGTATTGAGCTGATGAACTAAGTACATAGTTATGAAGAGCTAGAGTGCCTCTTCCAAAATTGTGAATTTCATGGCCCCTTGGTCAGGGGTTCCATGTTGGGGGGGGGGGGGGCTTATTTATTATATACTGAAAATAAATTAATGCTTTGAAAATCTTCTCCTCTGCCCCTTGGTATTAATTAAACAAACTAAATACATAGTTATGATGAGAAAGGATGCCTCTTCCAAAATTTTGAATTTCATGGCCCCTGTGTCAGGTGTTCTTGAGCTTGGGTGGGGTTCCATTGATTAATTAGCAAAATGCATTAATGCTTTGAAAGACTTCTCCTCTGCCCCTGAGTACTAAGCAAACAAGCTAAATGCAATAATATCAATGTAAATACATGTATTAAATTTAATTATAAGTAAATGTGCTTTTTCTTTGCTTGTGGGTATCTAGGAGGCAGAGTACACAATTGTGATGTGAAGCAAATGAGAGTTACTCCCCTTTGCTAAGTATTGTTAATCAAGAAATCCTTGTATATAATTTAATTAACAGGTTATTTGATTGAATGAGAATACAAGAAAGAATGTTATATATATATATATAGAAACAAAATAAAAATGAATGTTTGGTTTAAATGAGCAAAGTATGCTCAAAGTCAGATTCTTGCCTGGAAAGCAGTATAAAAGATTGACATAAAGATTATTTATATATTTAGCAAAAGTTGTAATTGTACACAGTATGTATACTCTGTGGTGATCTAAGTTAGCGTCACTTGTAGATGAGACTGGATGTTGTTTTATACTTTATCAAAGTGAACAAAGAATCACAGAGAGCCAGGGTGACTTATTGTAATTAGTGACAAGTGAAAAATAGCCGTGTTGTGTACCCAAGTCTGTGTGTACTGAATTGTAGCACTAGGCAAGTGACAAAAAAATATCTGTATATATTGAATACCTTACACAATAGGCAAGTGTTCTTTGTATTTGTATATTTTGCATTCATTATCATCCCTGTAAGACTTGGGAAAACCAAGTATGATCCAAAGGAGATCAATCGGGTCTAGCACATTACAATAAGCAAGGGTATTTTTACCAGATTTTTAGCTCACTTCGACGAAGTCGAGATGAGCTCATGCTATACCCCCGACGTTGGCGTCCCGGTTAAAGTTTTAGGAGCAAGTCCACTCCCAAGTAACTATAAGCCCTACCTGAACCAAACTTGCATGGATGATGCATCTAGGGATGGACACTACCACACTTGCTTCGGATGCTGGATCTGACCTAGATTTTCCAGATGAGTGACCAGGTTAAAGTTTTTGGAGCAGGTTTTTTTCCAAGTAACTATAAGTCCTACTTAAACCAAACTTGCATGGATGTTGATCTTGGGATGTACACTAACTACAAAAAAATATGATGTGAGATTTGCCTTTCTTACAGATAACATTTGTCGAGGTGAGCTTCATAATTTTTGATTACCTATGTTTGAAATTCTTGGGCAACTTTGCTTCGTCTATCAGTTAATTTTGTTTTATACTTCCATGGATCCTTTAGTGTTGTATTATACTCAGGTGACCGTTAAGGCCCTTGAGCCTCTTGTTTTCATTTTTTATGAACTCTTCAACAATTATAAATTAAAACAAGTATATGCCATGTGTAATGAAGAATAATGGAATATAAAGTCTCTATCTTTAAAACGGAAAAATACATATGATTTTTAATAAGAGGGACTTTTAAAGATTTTAAAAAATACAATTTTAAATGTTTATTTTTATTTAGTGTTCATGAATTTTTGAAAGTTAGTAAAAAAAAATTGAGATGATTGATTGATTTTTTCATAAGGACGTATTGCATTTTGATTTTTAAAAAACATTACAGAAGTAAGACCAAGCTCTCCAGAGTCTGTATTGATACAACAGGAGGTGTGGATTTCTTTAATTGGTACCCTCCCTTTTTTATCGATATTGATGACCGTGGTTATTATCATACAGAAATGTAAGTATAGTATAGTACAAATAAGAGGAATTATAGATACAAGAATTATCATTTTATTTCGCACTGATGGCGTTGACCAATGAATCATCATTATTCAAGGAAACATTTTGAAATTTTTAATTAGCCCCAATCGGAAGACAAACTTCTCAGTCAAAAGGGGACAAACAGACAGTTAACACAGGGAATCAGGCTACTTGTGATGTAGCATTGGGGTCATATGGCGTACAGGGATGTTGCGATGATGGATACCAAAGACTGGCTATTAGAGAGGAAGGGGGAACCCGAATTACCAACTCTGGCCAGTATATGGTCATTAACTGTAATGACACAAAAGATCAAGGAAATCTCTATGAAAATCTCCAGTCGACAAGAATCTCCCTATGAAAATCTCCAGTCGACAAGGAAATCCCTATGAAAATCTCCAGCCGACAGCGTCGAGAAAAAATATTGCATATTGACAGAAAAAATTCTCCGTATTCAGAAATATACTGCTCATTTTTTAATTCAATATTATTTAAAGATGAACAAAGTGTAGAATCTAAGAGATTTATCTGAAGATGATTTATCATTGTATATATTTTGCAATCTTCTTATATATTATCTGATCAGAGCAATTTAGTCGAACCTATGCCATACTCGTTACTTTTGATTAAGTAGCATCTGCAGTTTGTAAAACTGTAATGCTTACTTTGACATACCTTTCTATTTTAATTAACTCAGCTGAGCCCAAAGCTCAAGTGGGCTTTTCTGATCAAAGTTTTTTCCCAATAACTGTCTGTCGATCATTTTGCCTTCTCAGGAATCGCTGGGCCAATTTCAGCTAAACTTGGAACATAGTATAACGAAGGACGAGGGTTGTCCTAAAAAGTCGTAGACAGGGAAAATAATTTTGTTTTTCTTTGCTAAATTAAATTTCTTTTCATAGTAAAAAGCAACATCTTATTATAATGAATTTCAAGTTTCATGATAATAACACATTTAATAAGAATATAATGTAAAAATGAGCGCACGAAAGCAAACGTAATTTACGTCTCTTATAACGTCATGATCATTTTTAAGTATACTGTATAAACATTGTGTTTCACATGAGTCTCTTAAGCTTCTCGTTATTTTTTTTTTCTAGTGGAAAACCACTGCCGACTAATGGACTCACCAATGGCCATAGTTTTTTTTTTAAATCAGCTTCAAATTTCAGTCCTCGAAAGGTCGCCTTACATTGCACATGTAGGTAGCAGAGAATACACAAAGTTTGACGTCGATCGTGACCCATAACGTTCCTACCCGTGCTAATTTAACAAACAGTACTCTACTTCTACTGAACATTTTCGGTACGGGGGTAAAAACTGTCCTAGAATCTCTTATACCATTTAAAAAAAAATCTTCTCTACTAGCATTCTATCTAGTGTGCTATGTCACTTCTCTACCATTTTTTCCGTCTCTGAAGTGGACAAACCACATTTGAAGCAATTTTATTTTATTCCCATGCGCCGATAAGGCGTTTGACGACGTCATTTGCAGCAAACTCAATTCTAACAACATTTTGAAAATAATGACTCCATTCCTCTGTCTCTGATGCTACTGACGTGAAATTTGACATAATACTGCGATTTTGTTTCTGATTTCACTGATATAAATTTGAGTTTGATGGTTTACATATTACTAGTATAAGAAATGCAATTCTAATAGTTACATGCGAAATTTATTCCGAATTTTGTTCGTGCGCCGACAGACCATATCGACCTTCCTATAAATCGTCATGATATCATTACTATTAAAAATATATATTTAAAAATTAACTATTATATGGAACATTGAATAAATTATGACTATGCAAAATTTGGTTGGTATTGGTTGAATGTTTATAAAGTTAAAAATATTGTCTATGACTTTTTGGGACAACCCTCGTACATACGTATATAGGATTAAAATTCTTCAAATTAAGGGTAGTATCCCTAACGAGGAGAGATAACCAA